AACATGGCGGTCCTTACCATATCTACTAGTTCCATAAAACAATACGGGACAGCTGGAAACTGTAGACCGATCGAGGCCGCTCGCTCCTCTGCTGTGGAATAAATGAATTAAAGAACGAACGAATGCGCGTCCGATCCCGAAAGCGCTGGAGAGTGACGCGAGGTGGCGCGGTGATCCTAAAAGTGTAACGGAAGTGAGGATGACCAATAGGGGCTCAAGTCTTGGCTGTTACGATGGCATGGACTATCAGATGACGGGTTCACAGTCTGAACTAATGCAACCCTGCGAGGGCCCACGTGGATTTCAGAAAAGAACCCGAACACTTCGAAAAGATTTTCCAAGCGGTAGTTAACGTTGTAATGTGATACATATAATGAAAGAAAACTATTTTAATATTGCATGACTTGTATGCGCTAGCGTTTGTTTTAAATATCTCGCCCTCTATGTTCTTCTTCTTCTTTTCCCCCCAAGTTATGGATAATCACGTCCTCACTATGTTCACAACTCTTCTGTAAAACCCCATTGTGAATCTGTGTGATACACCACTTATCCGTGAATGCACATTTGCATATGTAAAACCCAGTAAATTCTGTCAGGTGCAGCTCAAATCTACACAGGCAAATGTCCCTGCAGTGCCCCAAGTACTGAGAATAGGGATATACATGTTTGCATAGTCTGAAACACAAATAGAAATGTATCCTTCCAAAGGGCAGTGTTTGAGAATGACCTGCATGTCTGTATGAAGTCTTTGTAAATTTGGCTTTTTTTCTGAAGTACACTATGTACACGACAAGCCTGGCTATTATCATTAGAAAGTACTAGTAATCTGTCTGTTAATGGTGCTCTCAATACTTTTTGTATATGATGTGTTGGCTAATATTGCATTTGATTTGAACTTTACTGAAACCAAGTGGAGTGAATGCAGCAAGTTTTTATTGTACCAGCCATTGCCATTACCAGTTAGTCATGAGCAAAAATGTCCAATAAAAGAGGGTTACCGAGATGTGGTATTAGTCTCGTGTGACGCTTAACATGCTGGACACCATAAAGTGACCCACTTCATATGAAACAAATCGGCTTTTACATTTTAGTGTTCATCTCATGTCAGTATTTATCATTTTAAAGTTATTTTAAATATGATAAAAAATAAACATTTACGTACGGATAAAGCCTTTACTAAAAATAAATACAGGCCTACACACTTTGTTAATACATATTAGCCATTTACCATAACAAATAAAAAAATATATTTAAGCTCTGATTTCTGTATATCACGTTTTTCCTTTGAAAGAAGTGTTAAAAGGATAGTTCACCCCAAAATTAAAATTCTATCATCATTTAGTCTTTACTCACCCTCATGTCCTTCTCTCTCTCTTTCTCTCTCTCTCTCTCTCTCTCTCTCTCTCCTTTTAATACAGATATGTATAAATTGCTGCCATCTAGTGTATATCAAAGAAATTAAAACAACACAGATAGGTGACTGATGATGTGTCATACCCATTTTTCTTCGTTAAAAGTGTATGGACATGGAAGCCCTGAACCACAACATGGAACAAAAATAGTGTCTTAGGTCCTTTTCAGGTCTTTCTGGTTTCTCCCCCCAAAACCCCTTTTTCTATCCTCAAATTCTTTTTTTCTCTTGCATCAGTGTAATGACTATTTCTTGATTTCCCTTATTATTATTATTATTATTATTATTATTGTTTTCTTTTTATTTATTTACTTTTTTGTGGATTAGCATGTAAGCTGTTTCATCAATGCCTAGCTTATCTGTGGAGATTCAACATTGTTGACTGCATTAAAAAAACATACTATATAGGACAATTGGATCACCTAATCTTCTACTTGGGCAATCACATGTTCGGACACCCAAGCTTGTTGCTTGCGACTATATTTTTTGTAAAATATTTTTATTTTACTTGGACATGTTTTCCACAGTAAATTTTAAACATTGCTTCATCCACATATAAAATGTTGCTTCATCCACACATAAATCTGACTCAGTAGGTCAGCTGCAGGTTATTGTGATAAAAAGAAGTGTTCTTTTTGATAATCCAACTAAGTGCACAATGCACAATTACATAAAAAAAGAAAGAAAGAAAGATTAGATCTGGAGGAGTCTATTATGACTAAAACATGGTTATAAAACAAAACCTTTATAATTTGTTGTCAAAATCATTACCATCATTCATTGTCAATAAAGGACCCACTGATAAGACAGTGTCTATTCAGTGAGTTTTACCTGTTTTGTCACATCACCATGTTCCAACTGTTCCAACAGCAGGCAAAACTCACTGAGTAGGCATTGTCTTATAATTGGATCCTTTAAATAAGGTTAAGTTGCAATCCTGGGATCAGCACATATCAGTTGTTACAATTATTGCTTAGACTCTTTGTTGAGGTGATCTTCTGTGGTATCAAGATTTTATTTGTCAAATGCATGATAAAATGGACAGAACCATGAGCTGCTCTGCCAAGTCATGCTGAACTTGTACCTTTGAACAAAGGTCAGAAATGAGAAGATAAATGTAAAGTTAAAATGGTAAATACAAAGATACAGAAATGCCTTAGATATTTAAAATTCAGAACACAAATTACCAAAAAACTGAATTCATCTGTTTTTATCTGTTGGCTAACATAAAATTAATTTAATAATATTCTATTCTAAACCTATCTAGTTATGGCTTTAATGCAGGGTTCCGCAAATCCTGTCCTGGAGAGCCGCTGCCCTGCAGAGTTTAGCTCAAACCCTGATCAAGCTCACCTACCTGTAGCTGCGTTTCCATTGACCTTCAAATTGCAAATGCAAAATATGCCCAATGGAAACACGTTAATTTTGCAAAAATTCACCAAATAAAAAAAAAAAATTTAAACACTTGCATGAGGTGGTTTTTAAGGCAATTCGAAAAAGGAATATTTCACAAAACTGCAATGCAATTTTTTTACATTTACAGGTCACCTGGATTCTGTAAAGGTATAACCTCCAAGAAACACCTCGTACATTGCCACTCTCAAGTATAATGGGCTTTCGTTGCCATTAGCCAGGTTTCCATCCAAAGTTACGAATTTAACTTATGCGAAAAATTGGAATATCGCATAAAATGTGCAAATAATCACTGTTTCCATCCAACGAGTCAAAGAGAACAAAAAATCGTGACTTCCTGATAAATTGGCACTAAATATCAATAAGTAGGAGAAGCCACTGAATATAATTTTCATATATGATAAATCACTTGCATATGTACCCTGGACCACAAAACCAGTCTTAAGTCGCTGGGGTATATTTGTAGCAATAGCCAAAAATACATTGTATGGGTCAAAATTATTGATATTTCTTTTATGCCAAAAATCATTAGGACATTAAGTAAAGATTATGTTCCATGAAGATATTTTGTAAATTCCTACTGTAAATATATCAAAACTTAATTTTTGATTAGTAATATGCATTGCTAAGAACTTCATTTGGGCAAATTTATAGGTGATTTTCTCAGTATTTAGATTTTTTTGCACCCTCAGATTCCAGATTTTCAAATAGTTGTATCTCGGCCAAATGTTGTCCCATCCTAACAAACCATACATCAATGGAAAGCTTATTTATTCAGCTTTCAGAGGATCTACAAATCTCAATTTCGAGAAATTGACACTTTTTGTGGTCCAGGGTCACATCCAGTATATGTATATGATGTACTCGTTACATCGTAAGAAGAATGGCATCTATGCTAATATTAGTCTCTTTCATTCTTATTCCGAGGTCACTGTAGCCATACAGATCCAGTCTGTATCCAGATCAGATGGTCACCATAGCCACCCAGATCCTGTCCATATCCAGACCAGATGGTGGATCATTCAGCACCTAGAGACGACCTCTACAGCCCTGAATTTCAGCGGAGACCATGTCAACTAGATGCGTCCCAGAGACAGATTCCCTGCGAAGACCTCATCACCTCGACGACCATTGGCACAAGACCACGGGAACCAGATGAGTCCTCTGCATCTGTGTTTCAGCCTGGAATTAAACCATGCCATGCTGGTTTCGTCTGGCCAGAGGAGAACTGGCCCCCCAACTGAGCCTGGTTTCTCCCAAGGTTTTTTTCTCCATTTCTGTCACCGATGGAGTTTTGGTTCCTTGCCACCGTCACCTTTGGCTTGCTTAGTTGGGGATGCTTAACTGATTGCACAGACACTATTGGAAGAGAGCTGAACTGGATGATGACATCACTGAATCATCAATGAACTGACTTTAGCTGAAAAATGACTCTATTATTGTCTTATTGCATCATTGACAAACTATGTTCCTGTCTGACTCTGTAAAGCTGCTTTGACACAACCAGTATTGTATAAAGCACTTTACAAATAAAGGTGACTTGACTTGACATGACATGAACCATGTTTATAGCACTCTATAGGCCCACAACCACCATAATTTTGGGTAAAAATAGATAAAGTAATATTTCTCTCTAAAGAAATTTGAAGTAAACATATGATAATTCATATGTTGTTCTCCAGTGTACAGGAGTAAGTAAGTAAGTATTTATTCATTTATTTCGTGTTTAAAACCAGTTAAACTCTGTGGACCCGGATATCCAAAATCGCGTTAAAAATGTTTATGCTTCATTTACATAGCCTTCCTTATATGGTATCAGCCCATATATGGGTTCATTTGAGAGCTTGGAGTGTCTGCTTTACAAAGAATACCATTCCTTTTGGTTTTTATATTCATAAAGTAGTAAAATTAAGCTTAGAAATGTATTCGTCCCACACACGAATTTCCGCCTAACAATTGCGAATAATTTTTACGAAGAATGTGTATTTTATATATTTTTCACAAAAACGTCAAGTCATATATCACAAGAAAGCTCTTATTCTCAGGAATTTGACGATGTAGATTATTTCATTGTGTGACAATCACAGATCGAATGATCTTCGATAGAATCGCGATCTAAAATTTTCTCGCCTCTGAGCGAATTTACATTTATACTCGTAGCACTGCTTCTCTGTGGTCGCTTGTGGACTGCAATTGGTCAGATTACCGTCTCTGAACTCGGCGGCCATTTCAGAGCCGTGAAATTTGACACCTCTGCGTCACTAGAGGGGGAGAGGGGGTTCTTGTACGCTGTACATTGGGGGCTGTAGTTTGTGGACTCGGTGTTTTGAAGGCGAGTTTCCCTTACGGAAAGGATACTGCACACGCGGCTCGGATATTATCAATCTATGATAATCATATTACAAGTTATATATGGTGAAGAACGTTCCGCGGCGCCGTGGAGAGGAATGAACGCGCGTCTGGTAAGGCTTTATGAGCGTGTGTTTGGTGTTTTTGATATTGTAATGTTGTTTCGAAACGTGATAGCACAGCTAGCAATCTGATACACTGTTTATTGACAGAAAAGTACAGTACATTATGCATTTCAGTGAATATACAGTAAATATAGATGGATTATTACAGTGCTGTGTGGATGAACTGATATGTGTTTGTTTGACGCTCTGAATGCTTCAGATAGCTGCCGGTTAGCAAATTAGCTCCGCTCTGGACCAGGGATGATGCAATGTTGTCATGGAGAGATGCTCTGGATACAGGAGTGAGCTCATGAGGTGAGATATGCTGTGAAGCAGTATCCCAATACAGAATGCACATAAATGGAATGATATAAAGCTGGAGGATATGGATTCTATTTTAGATTGTGATAAACCAGATATATTTTATAATATAGACAGTCTTGTGCATCCTGAAATAATTAAACTTGATTGTAGAATAAACAATATTTGAAATTGGTCCAATTCGCTTGTGCCATTTTGTATATTACTACTTAGAAAAACATAAAAATGAAACATAATTCAATCAATAATCAATTAACGTGCTTATGGCAAGGAGTAAAATAGGATTGTGGGGTTAATGTGTTTTATAAAGCATGTTTTTGCAAAGGAAACTCACCATGACACATTTAGATGCAGAAATAGACAATTCGACTCGTTTCACTTATAATGTAATAACTCCTGTTTAGAAGCTGCTATTTGAAAGATTCTTTTTTTCTGGTACTTTTTGGCATGTAGTGGCATCAAACAAAGTAAATTGCAGAGAGCTGGGCCTAATAGAACCTGAATTACAGAATTTCAAAAAAAAAAAAATGAAACTCCAAAAGCGCCTATGTTTTTTTTGTGTTTATTGTAATATTTGAAAAATATATAATGTTATTTATAAAGAATTACACTCATATTTTGTAGTTCAAAGGGTTTTCTTTACAATGAAAAAGTAAAGAAAGTGTGTTTACCCTACACACATACAATTCCTCCATTGTATTTGTGTAGGGTAAACATTTGAATTTGAGTATGTCAAATTTAGGCGAAAATACCAAAAATGCCCCAGAGTATAAGTGGTTAAATTATGTTGCTGTTGGCTGACTTCAGAGTTCCTACTGGCAGTGCAAATGAAACCGGCAAAATGTCCTTATAGGGTAATATTTAGCTCTTGGGGAACCGCCCTGGTGACTAGTTCCTATAATTAAGTTCATAGAACCCAGTGCGAAATCCCCTATTGAATACTGGGAATACTGCAAGTATAGAGAATGCACCTTATTTAAGAAATGAATGTTAATTGCACTTAAAGACGAAAAATATATATGGTTATTGAAAAGAATCACCCCCTTTAAAATAATCACTTTTTTTTTTTTTTTTGCTTTGCAGCCTGAAATGAAGACGGACCCCATTTTTGTTTTATCCAGCTGTATTTACTCAGAGCAACTTATAACATCCAAGTGATAGATATAACACCAACATGTCAAAACAGAATTAGTCCTGGTGATATGTGAAAAAAAAATTCACTTTTTCATAAAAGCATGAAACTTGGTACACTTATACAGTTTGCAGCCCTGAACATTTTCAGGAATGGAGCCATCGCAAAAATGCCTCATGGTTGCCATTTTCCTTTCTGCCATTGCCAAATTATGTGTTTTATATTATATCTCTTGAATCAAACATGATAACACAGAAAAGGTGATGTCTATCCCTATTTTTTATGGTCAAGGATTACAATGATATCATATACAACAAAATAAACTGTTGAGGTGAATAGTTAATGGTGAATTCAGTGACATTGTGATAAGAATTACAATGAAATAGCAGTATCTGAGAAGATGCAGAATGACATTTCAAGCAAATTTCCTGTAAACTTAATTTACAATCACTCTCTGTTTTGCCTGTTGTGTTAGTGTCCACAAGGGGGAAGCATTTATTTCAGTTGATACTTCCAAAGTCCCTTTAAGATAGTGTTAATTTCGTTAACGAAGACTATGACGAAAAATGTTCGTTGACCAGCTGTTTTCACATGACTAAGATGAGACGAAGACGAGACAACAATAAGGTCAATAAATGATAACTAAGACTATATCAACATGCAATTTCGTTGACGAAATAAGACGAGACTAAAATGTATTCAAAAAGATAAAAACTTTACCAAAAACCTCTTTATTTTCGTCAAAAAAAAGAGACAAAATGTTATTGCAGACTGCTCTACACCCCTCTACTACGCAAGCTCTTATGAGTGCGGTTGCCAGATATCAAGAGTACCAATCCCCGAATAGAGCTTCGCCGTTAAATTCATACATTTTCTGCCCGGTGTGTTTTGCTTATTTTAAGCAATCTGGCAACCATGCGCACGCGCTCGCTCCTCATTGCGGAAGCGCCGCCGCCGATGATCTGAAAAACAAACAAGCTGGAGTTTAGCGATCTAAGTGAAAGCGTCATTCAGCCGGTCAGTGTTCTGTCATGAGATCTCACTATATTGTTTGCGATTGTGATCGCTGAATAAATACACTTACTTAATCACTGTTGTTTTAATAGAGAAATATACTATTGCAATTATGGAATTACTAGGAATTTCACTGTTATAATATTTTTCGTTTGTCTTAGCTGTTTTCATAATGTAGACAGAGAGATTGCATAAGTCTTTGGTATTGATTTATATAATAAAAGCCTATAATAAATCAGTACACTAGATGAGATCAAATACACCATGTATGTGTCCACATTCTATTGATTTGTGCTTACTGGAGAAAGTGCAATACCTGAAATGCAAAACTAAATTTCTCAAATAACAACAATCATTACGATTATAATTTTGAGAATTTAAATTTTTTTTTTATCAGTTTAACCATTCTACAGAATGACGAAAATGTGACTAATATTTAATTAACTAAAAAACCTGACTAAAATGCTCATACATTTCATTAAATAAACAAAAACAGGACAAGTTTGTCTAAATAACTAAAATGTACATTTGAGTAAGACTAAGACGAAATAAAAAATGGCTGCCAAAATAAATACTGCTGTGCGGTTAATTAATAATCTTTTTGACAAAATGTCAAGTTTTCATTGACTAAATCTAGACTAAAATGTTGAGACTTTGTCGACTAAAACTAAACAGGATAAGGTTGACTAAATATGATAAAAACTAACAAGGACATTTTAGCCCGGGACTAAAACTAAGACTAAAATGAAAATAGCTGATGAAATTAACACAACTTTAAGACAATTTATGTCACTCAGTGGCCATCTTTGAAACACCTCTCGGGTACGCAAGTGCAGCTCCTATCTCTTTGAATGGGGAAACATCAAATTCTCCAAAACCCAAGGTACGGCGCAAACAAAAACAAAAACAAAGACAGCTCCAGCTCCAGCTCCAGCTCCAGCTCCAGCTCCAGCTCCAGCTCCAGCTCCACACAAGCCCAGCCCATGCTCACGCCACACTCGCCATCTCTGTCCCAGTCTTTTATAGAGCGCCATGATTACCTTCAGGTGTGCAACCACTCCCCTCAGCCAAATCACCTGTAGCTCAGAAATAACCGGTTACTTGCTGGAACCGTCACAGCACCTATTATGCCCCTTTTTACAAGATGTAGTATTAATCTTATGGCTCTCCTGAATGTGCCTGTGAAGTTTCAGCTCAAAATACCATACAGACTGTTTATTATAACATGTTGAAAAGTTTCATTTTTGGGGCTGGTCTAAAAAGTGCTGTTTCAGGGGTGTGTTCCCTTACATGAAAATGAGCTGCAACTTCCCGTCCGACTTCTGAAGGGGGCGGAGCCTTGATGTCTCTTCTTTGCGTATGGCAATAAACAGAGAGGAGAAGCAACATGAGCGAGAGTGAGAGGACCGGTATTCAGCCGTACATGTACGAACAAGACTCAGACCCAGAACACGGAAAGACTACAGCAGAAGAAACAATAATGCGAATGAACCAGAATGTCTGCAATGGTAAATTGAATCATTTATGTACTTGTATAGTTTTTCACAGCCGCTTTGTAACGATGGATGCGATACAGCCGATCAATTCAATGATGAATTGCAAGAGCAATTCAAAAGCATAAAGAGTCGTCTGCTCTATTATGGCTCTTGCGGTACTTTGATGTCATACACCGATCATTCTGCGCAGCGCCAATGCATCTCGAACAAGCCCACTGAGAGCTGAGGATATGGTTATACGCGCCTGTCAGTCAATAGCAGTGGGTGGGGCCACCGCAATATGACGTCATATTAGACCAGCCAGTGTGCATATGTCCTAAGCGTGCGTCTCCAGAATGCTGACTGTTTCTATAGCAACCGGGACTTCTAACGGCCGCTGCAGTGACGTGATGACTTTACCTATTAGTGATTGGCTCTTTTACTCAGAAGGGGGGGCTTCCTTCAATGAAGCAATCATATTGAGCATTGCATTTTTTTCCTCATTCAAAACTATACAAGTGACACGTCTTGGGTATTTTATAGTCTTTGATACTTCTCAGTGCAGCCTTCCTTCTTGATGAACTGTCACTCTACTGTCACCTTGGTAACAGTCAACACTCTGCCTGACTCTACATTTATTCATTTAGCAGACACCTTTATCCAAAGTGACTTACAATTGAGGAATACATCATGCGATTCATCATAAAGAGGCAAATAAACACAGAAAGTGCTCATAATACCAAGTTTTAAACATCACTTAGATTAGTACAAGCTACAACAGGGAGGGATTAAGAAAAGTGAAAGTGAAGGTTATTTTCATTAAATTAGGATGCAGTCAAATGTTGGCAAAAGAGAGATGAGTTTTTCAGCTGTCGCTTGAAATTGTCAGGGACTTAGCATTACAGATGGGCATGGGAAGACCATTCCACCAGCATGGAACAGTGAACGAAAATGTTCTGGAAAGGGATTTTGTGCCTCTGTGATGGTACCATGAGGCGTCGCTCACTTGTAGATCTCAGGCTTCTGGAGGGGATGTAGATTCGTAAGAGTGATTGGAAGTAGGAGGGTGCTGAGCCTGTGGCTGTTCTTTCTTTATGCAATCATCAATATCTTGAACTTGATGCGAGCTGCAACCGGCAGCCAGTGCAGGGAGATAAAGAGAGGTGTGATGTGGACACTTTTGGGCTTGTTAAAGATCAGACGTGCTGCTGCAATCTGAATCATTTGTAGAGGTTTGATTGTACATGATCGAAGTCCAGCCAAAAGAGCATTGCAGTAGCCCAGACTAGAAATGACAAGGGCCTGATCAAGAAGTTGTGCCGCATGCTCTATTAGGAAGGGCTTGATCTTTCTGATATTGTGCAATGCAAATCTGCATGATCGAGCTGTCTTTGCAATGTGGTCCTTGAATGTCAGCTGATCATCAAAGATGATACACCAAGATTTTTGACTGAACTTGATTGGGTAGATGTTGATTAACCTAGCTGAATGGTGAAATCCTGTTGTAGTGTCAGAGTGGCAGGGAAGACAAGAAGCTCAGTCTTTGCCAGGTTGAGCTGTAGGTGATGTTCATTTCAACTGTTCAAATCTGATGTTCTGGTCAACTGTAGGGGTGGGAATCTTTAGGCTCTTTACGATCCGATCTACATTTTTTCCTAATTAATTCTTCTGCAGTGCAAATACATCTTTACAACTTTACATTTTAACGTAAAGTCGTTACGTTACATTTAGTTGTAACATTTACATTTAGTTTCTATGCTTTTTGTTTATAGTTGGAATCTCTGTAAGTCAGTACTGCCATCTTAAAAATAGGGGTGTGAATCTTCACTGGTTTCACGATTCAATTCAATTACGATTATCATGTCAACGATTCGATTTAACTCAATATCACGATGCGTCACATTCTCAATTTTCAACATTACTGCACATGGCTACATGTAAGACTCCTCCTGTAATGACTCTCCAAGCCACTAGGGAGTGCTGTCTGCTCCCTCATGCAATGACTCTCCCAGCCATTGGTGGGCACCCCCTGCCCTTTACTGTGAGAACTCTCCGAGCCACTAGGTGGCACCACCTGCTGTGAACTCTTTAGTTAAGACTGCTCATCAAGTTCATTTGTTCCACCTGTATTTTGTTCTATTTAAGTTTGGCAGTTTCATTGCACTGTGTTCAGTCTTGAGCCTACCCAGTACGGATTACCGGAGTTCTAGAACAGTTAAGTTTTCCTGTTGCCATTTGGAAAATACTTTGTTGTTATTAGATGCTTGTTTGATCTGTGCTAAGACCAATCGACATAAAGCTAGTAAACATGATTCTCTTACACACCCGGAACTGCCATTTCAGCATTTACAAATAGATTTTACACACATGCCTCCTTGTGGAAATCACAAATATTTGCTTGTGTAGTGGACCGTTTCTCCAAATGGCCTGAGGCTTTCCCGTGTGGAAGAGAAAATGCACAGACTGTAGTGAAGGTACTTGCTA